TGCACTGGCCTGGATGACTCAGCCCTGACAGGAAAGGTGCCTTCAGGCTGGGAAGCAGCCAGGGTGTGGAAAGCTCATGGCTCTGCAGTCAGACACTCCCGGGTTTAGTCCCGACTCTGCTGTGGCTGGTCATGTCACCTTGGACACATTCCTTCACCTACCAGAAAGCGCCTTCCTCAGTGGGTTGTTTTGATGGTTAAAATGCACATGTCAACAAAGCACCCGGTGCAGTCCTGGGCGCATGCCAGGCGCTCCAGAAATGCTAGTGTCCATGTTCTGGGTCCTGCTCAACCCCAACTTGGGCCCTTTTGGAAGAAGTTGGAGAGAACTCGCTTGGCTGTTCTGAAAGGCTAGTCCAGCTCCAAGACCCCGAATGGCACGGTGGTCGAGACTTCTCCTGTGAAGTGACAACCACACTGAGGTGTCCGAAGGCGGAGAAGGAGTGGGCCCTGTGAGGCACGTGGAGGGAGGGAGAGTGACATGGGGACATGGAATGGTGTCCCAGAGACCTGGAGAAAAAAGGTCCAGTATCGCTGGAGTGCGAAGGGGAAGGGAGGGGTAGAAGAGGGGAGGTGGCAAAAACAGCCCAGAAAATAATCAGGGACCCAACTACAAAGGACCTTGTGAATCAAGTTCCAGATTTTGAAATGTAAAGGCAGCTGGGAGCCACTGAAGGGTTTTATTCAGCCGGGTGGCATGGTCAAGTCTGTGTTTTAGGCCAGCCCTCCTGGCTACATTGTGGAAAATGGGGCAGAGGCAGGCAGTCACCTGCACGGAGCCCCGTTAGGACAGGGCACCGTACGCCAGGGGGAGCGGTGCTATAGCAGGGGTCAGGGGACATGTGGACAAGGCCAAGAGATGGGAGGGCTCATGGAGAGGACTGGTGCCAGTCTGGATGTTCAGAGATGAGGGGCATGAGCTGTGCACCTGTTTCCTCATCTGTTAAATGAGGAAAATAATAGTATCTACCACTTAAGGTTTTGTGAGGATTAAAAAGACCGTCCACGCAAAAAGCTCTAAGGAGNTGACCGTCCACGCAAAAAGCTCTGAGGAGTGCGGGGCGTGACTGTTTCGATTGCTGTTATTCCTACGAGTCTCTTCTCGCTCAGTCTCCTGTCCGAGCTGCTCCTTAATGCACCACCCTGCAGATATGAAGCTGGGGCGGAACGTGGCCAGGACGTTTCTGGACTACTACCGGCTGAACTCCCTGGTTGAGAAGGCGGCGACTCCCGTGCCGAGGCTGCGGTAAGGGGCCCAGCGGAGCAGGGTGGGCGCGGGTCCTGCTGCGCGGCCTTTACGCTCAGGGGCAGCTTCCCGGAGCCTCTGTCTGGCCCTCGGTTTCCCATCCATGGCATGGGAAAGAAACCCCGGCCGTGCCATAGAGAGCATATGGGGCAGAAGAGCTTAACAGAGTGTTTCCTGAGCATAAAGGATCCATACGGGGTCATACCGTGAGGGGTGGCGGCATTTCTACAGGAATGGGGGCTACTGGAGCTGAGTGCAGTCATTCTGCTAGTCTGGGTGGCACCATATGCTACTTCACCTGATAGCTCTTCCTCAGAGAGTCCTGCATCATCTAGGCTCATAAAGTCTCTGATCCTTCCATTTCCTCATCCGTAAAGTGGGACAATAGCTCTCAGTTGGAAGATTATCATGAGATGGGTGTTACTGCGCCCTGCATAGTGCCATACACACATATGTCCCCTCGGTGCATGGTAGTCCCCTTCCCCCTAGACGCAAAGGTTCAGGGCTGGAGAGAACACGCCCCTGAGAAGGTTCAGCTCAGGTCTGTGCTGGGGCCAACTTCTTGGGCCAATGAGGAGAGGTCAGGAGATGAGTGTCCTTCCTGAGGCGGGACCGGAGCCCGAAGTGCTGGGCGTTCCCGCACCTGCTGGAGGTGAGTCCAGGGAGCATTTGGACATCAGGATTGTGCTGCCCCTGTCCTCCCTCTTGGCCTCATTTCCCACTCCCCAGTGGTCTCGCTCCTTAAAGGACATGGAGATGTCTAACTTACTGCTACCAGAGCAATCTTCCTACAGACCTTGCCCCACCTTGACCATGTGCTTTGCTGCCTCAGGGTCTTTGCACCTTCCTCCCTGATGCACCTGTCTCCTTACATAATTTTTAAGCAACGGTATTTATCACTGTTGTTTATCAAGTAAAGTGATTGTTGTACCTGATCTTATTTACTTATTCTTTGTAGATATTATATTTTCCATATTATGAATGAAGGAAAGAGAGTTCAGGAAGGTGAAGAGAATTGCCTTAGGTCAAAGAGTTTTTGTCAGAGCCAGGATTTGATCCTAGGCTGTTATGATTTCAAAGCTGGATGGAAGCCCAGCTAAGTTCTACCTGGGAAGTGTGGGTTCAGACTGTGGGGTCTTAGGCAGGGTTCTTGGCCTCTTGAAACCTTTCTCTACTTAACTATAAAGTTCAGGCAATAACAACAGCCTCTAAAGATGGTTTTAAAGATTGATACAAGCTTTGTACAGTGCCTGGCAGCCAGTAGGTGCTCAATAAATGTTTCCATCTCCTCCGGTTTCTGGGTTGCAGACCCAGATTTCCCACAGGCTCACCACGGCCTAGGGCAAGACCCTGGCCCTCTCTGGCTGGGCTGGATGATCTCTCAGGGCCCCGGTTAGACAGTCCTGTGAGTCACCCATCCCTGAGCCCCAGCTGCACGACAATGTCCTCTGACTCATAGTCTGTCTCAGACTGCTCACCGGTCATGTGGCTCCCTGCGCCTCCACCCTGGGGGAGGATTACACTTGTTTCTTCTCTGTGCTCCCACAGTGCAGAGACTACTGAGCATGCATTCCTGTATACATTCACTCATTTACCTAGGAAAACAACACTTTATACAAGGACCCCAGGGAAAGGATGGAGCTGACTGTATAAATGATTAAGGCATGGCCCTGCCTTGGAGGGGCTCACCTCTAGAGAAAGGTACTCAGTTCATTCTTAGAAGTCATTCTTGATTGGTAAAAGTTCTTAAAATTTTAAAGCTTTGTAAAACTCAAAAGAGCTCTTAGCATCTCATTTGCAAGTTAATTTGGGGATTGTCTCTTTCAGATCCTCTGTCGGCCTGAATGATATCATCCTGATCTTTTACCACTTTTTTCTTATGTGTTGCATTGTCATACACCAATGAAATGGGGTTGACAGTCGGGGACTTTAGCAATCAGCTGGGACCCCTCCTCATGATACTGATGAGGAAGCCAAGGTCCAGGGAGCAGACGGGCTGGTCAGATGATGACGGAGTAGAGCTGGGCCCCAGGGTCCCCAGCCTGGTGTTCTCAACATCAGTCAGTGAAGAGTTCTTTGACATGGGGGTGGGGAGAGACCCTAAAACTTGGTCTGAAGAATGCAAGGGAGTTCCCTGCACCCTGATTTCACCTGTTCATGGAAGCCCCTTGCCTTGAGCTTTGGAGGCCTCTTTAGAAAACAGTGGGAGAGTTCATTCCTCAGAGTTCACAGCCTTGAGGATTTAAAATAAATGCACCCACCTTTAAATTAAGAAAAACAAGTTAACTCCCTCTCCATCCTCAAACTACTGCCTCATCAAGCCATGAATAACACGCACCTCTCAGCTGGTCAGAGGCTCTTTAAAAATGAATTCCCAGGAGGACACAGGCTCTGATTTGGGATTTGAATATTTCCCTTTTCTTGTATTATTTTCCACCCAAGCATCAAATAGCATAAGCAAAAGAGCAGTTCTGATTTTAAAGGAAAATTACATGTTTTGACTCAAAATTAATCTGTTTTCTCTCATCGCTATGGATAATTATAATATGTCAGTTTCTGCCCCTGTGCTGGTGGGAGCCTGTCAGCATCCCTGGGCCATTGTTCAGAAAGGGTCCCTGGGGATGGTCAGCAATGTGGCCCACGAGCCCAGGCCCAGGGACATGGCGTTGATGACCCAAACTGAGACCCCACACTTAACTGGACCACAGTGACACAGTTACAGGGCTAAAGCTCAAAATGCACCATCAAGGTGCATGAAAATTAGGCAGGAAAAATGACCAGGCCAGCGGAGCCTCAGTGAGGAGACAGCATGAGTGTGGTGGGCGGGCTGCCTCCACACTGAGGTGGGCTCAGGCTCAGCGACAGGCGGGGAGGGCTGGCTCCATGGTGGGGGACAGGCTCATCAGCTACTCAACACACTAGAGCCTGCCATGTGCCAGGCTCTGCCCTGGGTGCTGGGGGAACACAGATAGCCGCTGCCTGTCAGGGGCTCAAATGTATAGAGGAGAAAGGCACATACACAGGCAAAGAAAATAAACAATTCCAAACAGTGTATCAAAGTGCTCAACTAAGTATCAGATCACACCCTCTCTCAAAAACCTGCCGTGGATCCCCACTGCCTTCAGGGCAATGTTTCAGTTCTTCCTACTGCTAATGCAAAGCCCTGACCTACATTTAAAACTTCACTTACAACCTCTACACATCCTTCCCCTTTTGAGCTCCCTCCACCCCACCTGCTTCTACAGCTTCGCTGTTTCATGCCTCCCTCCATGTCTTCATTCATCATTCTCCCTCTCCCTGGAATGTTCTGCCTTGTCATTGCTAGATGGTGAACTCCTACCTATCTCTCAAACCCCAGTCCAAATAGCACACCTCTGTTTTCATTCTCCTCCTGAGACAGAGCTGCTTCCTCTCTGCTGGACTCCTAACTGTGTCTCGCACACCTGTAGCCTGGCATGTCCCATCTTGGGCGGTCATGGCATTTGCATGTCTGGCTTCCCCACTGGACAGGTTGCCCCTTGAGGAACTGCCTTAGTCACTCCTGTTCTCTTTGTGCACAGTGCAGGAGCTGCATGGACAAATCCTAAATAAGCCCTGAATATATGAATCGCAAAATGACAGAACTGGAGAAGCCCCTGAGAATCATCTACTTCACCCCCTTCATGTTATAGGAAAGAAAAATGAGACCCAAATGGAAATTACCTTCCCCCACCACCTGGCACCAACAGGAGTATCCCAGGGAAGCTTCAGGAAAGAAGGGGGCTTTGAGCTTGGTTTTAAAGGATGCAAAGAATTTTCAAATGGATGAAATAGAAAGGGGAAGGGGGACTCCATGTTGGGGGGAAGGAGGCATGGGAGGCGGGAAGAAGGGCCTAGAAAGAGGCCTTCTAAGACAATGACAAGGCTGGGGCGTTTAGAGCATCAGTGGAGGTAAAGATAAGACTAAAAGTTCACTTCTGTTCAAATCTCCTCAAGCTCCTGCTCCATGCCAGGCCTGTGCTTTGCTCAGGAGTTAGAGGAAAATCAAAGGCATCAAACTCACAGTCTCACGAGAGAGGCAGATGGGCAAAGGATCACCTAGAAATTAGGGGCAAGGTACAAAGGACTGCACAGGCCTCAAGAGGCTTTTTTTTTTTTTTTAATATATCTTTATTGATTTCAGAGACAGGAAAGGAGAAAGAGGGAGAGATAGAAACATCAATGATGAGAGAGAGTCATTGATCAGCCGCCTCCTGCAGGCACCCCACTGGGGATCGAGCCCACAACCCTGGCATGTGCCCTAACCGGCAATCGAATCTCGATCTCCTGGATCCTAGGTCAATGCTCAACTGCTGAGCCATGACAGCCGGGCTCAAGAGGCTTATTTTTTGGGGAGTCGGTTTCCAAAGGAGGTGAACCTACAGAGGTGGGCGAGGGCATTATAAGACGGGGAACAGCCTCTGCAGAGGCCCAGGAGTATGGAAAGTTGGCTTTCCAGGGCCCTCATATTTATCTACAGAGGCTCTTTGCCTCCGTAATGACGCCCCCAGTCATTCTGCACATTCACACCCCTCCCTGGCCATGGCACACCTCCCAATGCCACCGTTTATCTAGGGCTACCCCACCTGGGACCATACTTCTACCAGCACAAAAACACACCCATCTTATTTCCCATACTCCCTTGGGGTAGGTTCCCAGAACAAGACAAGGCCACTGTTCCCGGGAGGCCACAGTCCAGTGGGGGAGATAGACATGCACACAAGTGATTTCATACAGTGTGTATATGTGCTATCTTTCTTCTCTCTTTCTGTTATCTCCCTCTTTGCAGGAAAGAAAAGCCCCCTCCCTACAAGTACCCACGCCCGCGGGGCCCGGCCAGCAACTACCCCAATGGCAAAGGGAACAAGAAGAACTCAGTGAACCGCAAAGACCCTTCCAACTCTGTTTAAGGACATGGAGGCCAGGGAGGTCTTGTGGAGCAGGAGCATGCATTTTCTGCTGGGGCAGAAATTAATCACCCTCCTAGTTTCTGAGATACGGGCTGTGGGATAAAGAATAAGCTAGTGAAAGGGAAGGGGGGGGGAATGAGAAATTTCACCATCGATTTTCCCTTTTACCAATGGAAAATCAATTGTAAGGCTTCAGCTCAGAACTCAGGACCGAAATAGAGAAGCAAACAGGGTGAGCACAGGTGCCCTTTCCACCACGCGGAGACCCTCGCAGGAGGAGGGAAACCTACACGCACATCCTTTTGAGAGGCTGGACACATCTCAGGTCAGGGCTTCCCAGCCCCTTCACCTGCTCAGGTTGTATAGTTACTACAGACGGCCACCTTTTAGAATAAGCTCTGTGTTAGAAAAGCCATGTCCATATCTGCTGATGCAAAACATCAACAGCACATACACCCCAGAGACACGGGTACTGCTGGGAACAATGGGACAGCGTTTTTGAAAGCGCAGTGGTCTTGCAGTCACTTCATCTCTGAGCTGCATGCTCCCTGTCTCCCCCAAACCCCAGCATGCAATGTCAGAAAAACAGTTCTGAGAGCTATTTCCCAGTCACCTGGGTGGTTTAATTGAGAATTTATCTCCAAAGACAAAAAGTATTGGTCGCTCTTTCTCCTCATCCTGGTGTCACGGATCCAACCTGGCCACAGAAGAGGCCGGCACTGATAGTGTGATAGTCTGAAATGGGGGACTGCTGGTGGCCAGGTAAGGGAGATACAAAAGACAAAAAGAAGCCCTCCGAGGCAGGCCAATGATCAAATGAAACAACAGCGGTAGCAATTCCCAAGGTGGGGCAAGCTTAATGTGCATTTTTTCTAGAGAGTAAAGTGCCTTTGTATGATGAATGGGTCCAGGAGAGTCTGCTCCCGCCCTGTCTGGGAAGCAGCGGCTGAGTCACCGTGACAGCCTGCTAATTAAAATGACCTCCCAGAAATGAGGATTAGGCCATAGGGAGAGGAAGGGAGGCCCGAGGGAGACAGGGCCTTTAGCACAAGCTCTAGTTAAGCACTTTTTTGCTTTAGGTTGAAGATTTTTCTAAGTTTGTTGCAAAATCAAGAGCAAAGCATATTCTCCCTTTGATTATTGGTTTTCAGAAATTGTAACAAAGAACCATATGTTAAGCTGGTTGCAAATGTTGTGTTGTGTATACAGTGTCTCCCCTGGGAGCTTGCTGCCCAGAGGAACACAAATAAAGTGGTTTATGCAGCTCTCCTGTTCCTCTGAGTGTTCTTGGCACCTTTCCCTTTAGGTCTCCCACTCCTTCAAGAACCAACCAGCCAACCTCGCTTTGTTGTCAAGGACTCTGTAACCAAGAGAAGGAAGAACAGTCCAGACGTGACTTTCCAGCAGTTCCTATGTCAGAGTCCTGGGGATTTAGTTGACTGCACCCAGCTCAGCATGAGCCAACAGTGTGGTGGGCGTTTCCCAGAGGATCGCTTCTCTCTAGACAGCATAAGTAGAGGCAGATGGCATAAAATAAGAGAGAGGACAGTCCAGATCTATTTTTCCCTGGCCAGACTGTTTCTGTATGTTGTGACTAGATTTAGGCCCCACTTTAAAAAACTGCTTTGATTAATTGGATCACAGGCCTCACAAGCAGTGGGTATGCTAATAGTTTATGTGCGAAAACTTGGAGTCAGGCAACTCTGGGTGTTAATTCTGCATCCTGACCCTGGTTCTGTCTCTTATTATCTGTATGGTCTTGGGCACATTATTGAACTTTCCTGAATCTTAGTTTCCTCACCTATAGGATGGTAATAGGAATGTCTGGCTCATTATAGTAGCTATGTAGGTTTAATGAGTTTAGGTATGGGAGATGCCAGAAAAGGTGCTCAATAAATGATACCTATGCTATTGGTAATGTGACCAGGATGGTGAGTGGTCTACAAATCAGTTTCCATTCAAAATGGAAGAGGAGACTGGAGCTATTTGTCCTTGAGATAAAACATAAGAGGGAGTAGAGGTAGGAAGGCAAGATCCCAATCTATAGAAAGTTGAAAGGATATCTTGGACATTCTTTTTGTCCAAAAAAAGCAAACTTTTTCTGTGTTGTCAAAGGTAAAAACCAAATCCAGGGAGGTATTCTCAATAAGACAGGTTTCAGCTCTAAACGAGAAAAACTTCCTAGTGAATAGAGTTGTCAGTCATTGGATGGGCTCTCATGGAAACAGTGAGCTCCCCATCACCAGAGGTATGCAAGCAGAGTCTGAATAGACATTTGTCTTGGAGGATATGGGGGGAACTCCTTCCCTGGGGGATGCTGGATGCTCTGCGGCATCACCTTCTAGTCTATAACTCTGAAATGACATAAGGCAGGAGGTAACATAAGTGATGTCAGAGAAAGGAGTGTTCTGTATGAAAAGTATCTTTTAATGCTAAACGAGTGCCACTAAATGTCTCTAAATTTCCGTATGTGGATTCCCACTAACATTTAGCATTCCTTTAGAGCAGTGATTTTCAACTGGTGTGCCATGGCACAGGAATTGTTAAAACATGCAATAGCTGACTCTTTAGTCAGGGGCACTGAGCTCTTCTCCCTTAGACTGTCAAATAAAAAATGACAACAGCCAACACAACAATAACCCTCTGGTGTGAATGAATCAAAATTATACCTAATTTTTTTGTGTGAGATCGTCAAAAAACATAATATATTTTTGTGTGCTACAGAATTTTCATAATTGGTTTATGTGCACCATGAGATGAAAAAGGTGAAAATCACTGTTTTAGAGGAAAAAAATACATGGCTATAAGGCCAGCTGTTGGATGTTTTTGCAATAGTAGCATCTGCTTCTCTACATTGGAAGGGCAGAGAGAAAAAGTCTGACCAAGAGAAAAGGGGTTTCCAGTGGGCCTCCCTGTAGCCTTGGCCTGCGCAGCAACTCCCTGGCTCATTTGGACCAGGTTATACTGATGGTCTCAAGTGACGGGGAAGGGTTTCAGCACTGGGGTGGAGGACAGCACCAGCCCAGAAGGTGAACCTGCCAGAGGCTACTCGCCACCCAGACCAGCAGGGGGCGCTCTAGCCCCTCTTCTTCCCTGTCCACTTCCTTCTCAGGATAGAGCCACAAGCGTGTAGAACTGGTAGAACCTGCTACCAACCAGCGTTCTGGGGAGAGAGCGAGACAACTGTATAGAAAAGAAGGGTAAAGAGGGGAGGGACATGCTGGACCNTAGCGTTCTGGGGAGAGACAGAGACAACTGTATAGAAAAGAAGGGTAAAGAGGGGAGGGACATGCTGGGCCTCTACCTTGCTCTCACACAACTCTTTATAAATAGTGCCAGTTTTTTTCTGCATCAGTCCAGAGGCTCAGAGACAGAATTGAAGATCTATTTAGCCTCAAAAATTTCAACAGACAAGTGGGCAGCCCCCCAAATTCTTGTGCTGAAGCCACAGCAGAGGCTGGGTCACCTGCCTTGACGTTGTTAGCTTAGCAGCAGCAGGGGCCTTTAGCTACTTTTTCCTATTGCTTTTGAATAGAAGAGGGGCACAGGATGAGCTGAATCACTTTAACTCAATGACACACCTGAGACTTGCCTAAACGGACCTCAACTCATTTTTCTAAGTCGTAAGAGCGGTGCCAACCACGGAAGTCTGAAGTGATTAACATTTGTTGAGCATCAATTCATACACCTGCCAAATATTTATTGAACATTTACTGTGTGCCAGGCATTGCGTATGTTCTCCAGGCCTGCGTCTCTTCCTCTGAAATAATGGCTGGGAGGTCAGGATGGGATAGTGCCAAGGAGGCTGCATTATAAAGCAGGTGCTGGCAACTGGCCTGAGAGAGTTTTCCCACTAACTATCCTCAACCCCAGGTTACTCCCTACCCTTCTCACTCCCTCCGGATTCAAATAGTAAAGCCAGAAGATTTAGACATGTGGCCACTGGGAAGCTGGCTGCTGCTGGCAGCTCTGATACTGCCTGGCAGTGTGACACTAAGTAAATCTCTTGTCCTGTCTGACTTACCCCAGAGCTTCACCTGGCTTCAGTGTCTCACCCTTTGATATGGTGACATAATCCCCAGGCAATCTACTCCCAAGTGTATTGTGAGGATGTGATGAGAGGGTGGATGGGAAAGTACAGTTTTTTGGAAAAGTACTTCCCAGTATTTCCTCCCCTTCTCCTGAGATCTCATAGAAGTCCCCACTTGGTCCATTCTTTGCCTTCGACCTGGATTGTCCTGTCATTATCATCCAACAAAACGTATTAAACATCTTGTTTTTGTTAAGCACTTCCCATTTCTCTCTGTGGTCCTGATTTCTACCTACCCTTCAAGACCCCTCCTCCAGGAAGTCTTCCCTGATCTCCCAGCCCTCACAAATAACTTCCTCTGAGTTTCTAAAAGAACTTTTGTCTAAGTATCTCATGTTGGTGCTTAGAAATGGCTTTGGTATTTCGCCTTTCCTGTGTATCAGTTTTGTTTTCACAACTCAACTTTGCATTGTTCTTGGGGCAAGATGTTTAGAGATGACAAAAACCAGTATTACTCATTGTTCAGGCCTCAGGACCCAGCAAGGGCCAGGCAGAGAGTAACCACTCTGTGGGAGTCTACAGGTATTACTGATGCTACTGCTGATGGGAATGAAGATGAGGGTGGCTGCTCTGAGGCTGACACCCCTCCTCCTCTTTCTGCCTCTAGAAGTTTATAAACAAGGGCAACCCCTTAAACTCCTGGGCAAAGTGGAGCAAACGTAACTTGCAGGCCCATGTACGAAGCTGTCAAACTTTAAAGCTAAGCGCATCCGTGGGAGAGAGACAAAGAAGGGAGACGGATGAGGGGAGGCTGGGAGAAGGTGACAGACAATTGACTCTGATGGATCTGAGTGTGTGAGAGTGGGTGTGCGTACACTGGTATAGTTGCATTATGTGTGAGGCTTTCGTGAGTAACTTCTTTATATTTGAGTGTGAAAATGCATGAGTGTGTGGTGGTGACAGTTTTTGTGTGTGCATCGCTCAGTATTAGATGACAGATCATTGTCAATGCTAAGCACGTTTTCACTTCAACTCCTAGTCAGAGGTCCTAGGTTCCGTTTCTGTTTGAAATTCTATCTACTCTCTCGACATCTCATCCATATTAATGCGTCACCCCTCTGCCCAGCCTCCTTAGACTGTGCCCAGTGGGATGTCAGGGCCACCTCTCCTCCTGCCCAACCCCAGCAAAGGCTGATGCTAATTCCATCCAGGCCGGTCCCTCGGGGTGGACCGCTCATCAGGAGCCCCTTTCCTGCCTCTGCTAGAAGGTGATCTCATGTTTAGATCTCTTTCCTGAATCTCAGCCCTTGTGTTCCTGGTTTTCTCTTTCCTTCTTCAGGCCCATCTGGATTAAAGGTTAAAAAAACCCACTGTGGGGTGGTGGTATGATGGGAGAGGCTACTCTCCTCAACACCTCAGCACCTCTCCATGCTGCTCCTGTAGAGGCAAATGCGGTGGTTCCAGAATGTTTTTTTCTGTTCAGTTTTAGACGCACTCACTGAAGGCCTGCTCCAAGCCAGGCTGAGGACCAGGTGGTGGTCAGAGCGGAGGGTCACGATTGTGAATCATTGCTTTGGTCCATAGAGCAGCTTCAGGGGGCTCAACACTCTGTGTTGAAATGCAAATACACAGGATGGGGACTTGAAAAACTAAGCCTTGTTCATCAGGCCTGCCCTAATTTGTTCTTTAGTAAGTTCATTCATTAGCCTTCCTTCCTTCCTTCCTTCCTTCCTTCCTTCCTTCCTTCCTTCCTTCCTTCCTTCC